ATTTTTAGGGTCCCGGATTTATCATCTATTATTAGGGGGTGGTTTATTAACATGAGGAAGAGATTAGCTTTGGCAGACGAACTGGACACAGAGGCTTGCCGCTCGCCTGAAGGACTCCCAGCTGACTCCGGTCGTTGTATACTGTACGTACCACGCTCTGTTGGCTACATGCTTTCAGCAACTGGGCCTGTTGAGACTGAGAAGCCAGGGTTTACCAAGGGTCTGTTCTGCTTGCATAAAGTTTCGGGATCGACGTTTGGATCGTCCAAGGTTTTCTGGGTTCAAGTAAGGTTTTGGGCTTAGACTCTTTTGCAAGGTTTCTGGAGTTTTGCAATGTGTGAACTTCATAAAGAAAATCTTGGCCAATAAGAATCCAGGCCGCCTAGCCCCCAAAAAAGAAAACAGAAAACTAGAGTGTTTCCTTGAAGCCATTCCAGAACCGCGTTTGTGGATTGCGGTAGCACCCCGCACCACATCAATCTGCTGACTCTTCTTTGACATCTTGCTGTTCGTGAACAAACCAAGAGAGCTCCCGCTTCCTACGAAACTGAGCCATGAGCCTACCGCAAGCTTCCGTTAATTCAAAACTCTTCGCCCCTAAAAGATCCCAATGCCAAGGGGCAGTTTGTGGGGCATGGATGGATCCACGCAACGCCTGGGAAGCGCTTGGCGATGAGGAGCTCACCACAAATGCGGCCATGCTGAGAGCCTCACTGCTAGCGGCGATTTAGGAGGAGGGCGACCTAGGGCGATGGGGTCCTTGAGAAGCCTGCAAAAACAGATCGGTGGCAGCTGCGGTAGCTTCTGCGTCGGCACCTCTATAACGACCTATTTTGACTGGTAGGTTCAAGGCCTTGCTAGCAACTCTTGTCATTTTTCATTCGAGACTCTGTCGTGCGAGCAGATTACTACCCCTCCTAAAATCAATTCCTCGAAGGTTAGCCAAAATGAACCCCAATCAAATCTAATCAAGGGAGAAGCTTGGACAAGTGTAGGGGTGGGTTGGACACTTTGGAGGGCTTGGGCCTTCGGGTCTTTTCGTGATCAGGGCTGAATCGAAGGGATCAAGAAAGAGGGATCAACTGCCTAAAGGGCACACAGGCCTGACTGATCCGTGGTGAGAACAGCAGTTGCTTGTTGTTCTACTACGACACAGCGAGCTCTTATCATACAATGGGTAGTTGCCTTGTTTGATCCAGAACGAACCCTCAACCCTGAGCTGCTCAGGGGCTGTACGTTCCTGGCACTGAAGGGATAGGTCCTTGTTTTGAGGCAAACGCCTGCGGAAGTAAGTCGCAAATACGAGGAGCAACAGCTCCAACGATTCTGTGTGTCTCTGAACCATTAACACACTGACACATGTGGTTATGAAACGCACCACAGGCCGAGCCCGTGGTTCTTCTTCTGAAGACCCATGTTCTCAAATGCTGCGATGGCTAGATCATGCCCCAATATGAAACAGCCCAGACACCTTGCTAGGTCGCAAGACATACATTGATGTTCGTACACAGCAGATCTTGATTCTTCCCTCGCGGAAAATGCGTAAGAGATGACAGCAGCTCACCGGACAACTCACTTAACTCGTCGTGGACACAATAAGAAAGACTGGCCATCCCTGGACGCCCTTCAGAATAACTTTGGCTCTGCAGCCTGCAGCAGAAGTGGCTACAATTTCTTAAGTGGAGGGCTTGTAATGTTTGCGGTGCAGCCTTCACAATCACTGGAGCCAAGACAGGGCCAACACACATCACTCACCAACCATGACAGAAAGCCTGGTCTAAGCATTGAACACCTTGAATGAAGCCTTCAAAGTGCCTACATGTCCTTCTTTTTCAAATCTGATGTTCACAACCGTCCGTGAAACCTGGGAACGCAAAGCTGCAATGAGAGCCTGCAAGGCCTTCCGAGCATCGACCTAGCATCCAGCATCATGCACATGGCAAAGCAGAATGCTATCCCAAAGTGCACCAACAGAATTTTGCAAGAAAGAACTCTAGCTTGAGCAGGTTTTATATTCGTTGTTTTGGCAGAATCAGTTTTGGGATTTTCTGGCGTGCCGGATCTGGATAGGGCTACCACGAAAACATCTACTTGGATTATTGGTGCTGCACAAGGCTTCGGCACATCGAGTATGATCTTTCTGGTTTGAATATTCTGCATGGGAACCATGGAGAGTTTTGTATCAGAACTTCACATGGAACCTCTTGAGCTCGAAGGCGGAAGCCCCCATGAACAAGAATTGCCGGCAGTGGCACGTGGCGCAAACGCTGGCTTCCTACTG